CCCCCACCTTGAGCCACCACAGCATCACGACGCCCTTCACCTCTCTCTCTCTCTCTCCTTCTCCCTATCCCGCTGACTCGCACGCCAATCGCTTCTTCTTCTCTCCTCGCTCTCGTCGTGTCCGTCACGTCTCAGGCTTGTCTCCGGCCTTTCCGGGGACACGTCTTTTCCTCGACGCCACGTGTGTGCGCCTCACATACGTCTCTTCTCGACGCCACGTGCGCGCCTTATACGCACCCTTTTCTCGACCTGTATGTGACCTCTCTCTAGACCATGTCGACGAGCGCCGGTGCGCCACCTTCGACGGCTTCGACGGCTCAGAGAAGCCAGAGGGTCCTGGCTTGCGTCCTCTGTCAGCACCGCAAGATCAAATGTGACCGCAACACTCCCTGCTCCAACTGCCTCAAGGTTTGTGACATTCACTCCCAGACAGACGGTTCACGCCCGTGACCCCCCCCTCTTTCGTGCGCATCGTTTACCCCGGCTTGACTTGCTCATGTCATACCCCAGGCAAACGTCACCTGCACACCAAGCACCCCGGCACCTGCACGGAAGCGCAGACGTCCAAACCAGGACCTCCAGGAGCGCCTCGCCCGCTGCGAGGCCCTCCTGAAGCAGTATGCCGGCGGAGCCCCCCTGACCGCTTCCTCAACCGGTCCATCTTCCGCCCAGGGCTATGGTTCCGGTCCCACCCCCAGCCCGGCGCAGACGCCGATGACGGCGCACACTCCCGGACCATCGCCCGCGGAGCCTCACACCCACTGGCTGGACAGTAAATGTCGCGTATACGATGCCTTCTCGCCCGGCTCGTGTTTAGCTGAGCCGATGGGCAAACCGCCGGCCGGCAAGATGATTGAATCGGAAGGCGGTGCCCGCTTCGTGGACAACCGCCTGTGGACTAGCTTCTACGACGAGGTGCGTAGATAGCCTCTTCCCCTCCCCCCCCTTCCCTCCCTTCCCGACCCCTCTCTTCCCTCGTGGGTCGTCCAGGCCCAGGCCAAGTGTACTGACATGCGACCGTCCGCCTTTCCTGCCAACCTCAGCTCCAAGCTATGAGGCAGATTGTCGACACTGAAGACCCGGATGAGTCGAGCACCTTTGGCACCGAGGCCCCCACGCCTGACCACGCCAACGATCTCATCCTTCCTGGCTCCTCAACCCCCACATCTGTAGAGGATTTCTACCCGGACGCCGTCCACACCTTTCGCCTCTGGCAGATATTCCTCGAGCGCGTCAATCCTCTGACAAAGCTCATCCACGTGCCCACGCTGCAACCGTACATTGTCGAAGCCACGACGAACCCGGCCGGCGTGGCCCTCCAATACCAGGCCCTCCTATTCTCCATATATCTCATGGCCACCACCTCTCTGAACGAGACCGAGTGTGCCCAGGTCCTTAACATGCCCAGGGCCGAGGCCATCAAGAAGTTTACCGGCGCCACGAGAAATGCCCTTCTCCGTTTCGACTATCTGCGAAACTACGACATGGCTAGCTTGCAGGCCCTAGTCCTCTTTCTGGTAAGCATACACATGCAGCAACAGCACGGCCTCGTCAGAAGCTCTGCTCTACACCCTCGCGTTGCCCCCCCACCCCATTCCTCCCCCTTCTCCCCCACCCCTCTCCCCCCTCTCCCTCCATCCTCTACCTTTACCGACATGCTTGCTTACTCTACCTGCCCCCCTCCGACGCAGCTCTCTCTCCAGGGTCGGTATGACCGACACGCCGCCTGGGTCCTGAGCGGCACCGTTGTGCGCATAGCACAGAAGATGGGGTACCACCGCGACGGCGAGCTGCTCCACCTGACACCATTCGAGACAGAGATGCGCCGTAGACTGTGGTGGCAAATTCTATTTCAAGACACCAAGCTGGCCGTCGTATCTGGCCTGAGTCACAACTTCATGCGGGGGCCCTTTGACACAAAGCAGCCGCAGAATCTTAACGATGCCGATCTCCTTCCCGGCTCAACCGAGCCCGTCGTTTCCCGGGAGGGTCCCACCGAGATGTCATTCGTTCTCATGATCAATCGCGTAGGCACATTCATGGTTTCCGACAACTCGCGCTCGGGCTTCGAAGCTGCCATCGTGGCTCAGGGATCTGCCACGGAGGGTCAGGGAACCGACGCGCGGAGTTCCGAGGCTGAGGACACGGCGCTGCTCGACCATTTCCGGACCGTCGTCGACGAGCTGGACCACGACTTGCGCGAGATTGAGCGCAGATTTATCGACCCTACGGCCGGGGGTGTCCACGCTGCGGCCAAGACGCTTCGCATCATGCTCACGGAAAAGATGATGGGGATGCTGACGCCGGCGCGTGAGCAGCCTGAGTGGGGGACGGAGATCTTCACTCCCAAGGACAACTTCTTCAAGATTGTGCTGATGAACAATGAGCACAGCGTCGACAGCTACGAGGTCATGAACGAGCTGGGCTTCCTCTGGATCGTGCTGATGCATTTCCAGCTCGACGCCTTCTCTGTCCTCACCGGTCAACTGGTCCACCACCCCACAGGCTCCCTGTCGGACCGTGGGTGGAAGGTTGTCGAGAAGATCTATAAGTGGCAGCCCGAGCTGTACGACATGTCGGTCAAGGTGCATCTGGATCAGGCGCAGTTTACGCTCAAGGCGTGGAAGGCTCGCGAGCAGGCCTTTGCCAAGATGGGCCTAGCCACCGAGACTCCCCAGGCAATCATCAAGCTGCGCGAGTGTTTGCCGTCGTACGACTCGCGCTCGTCGACTGCTACGTCGGCCACGCCGCCACCTGTGACAACGCACATGGCGCCCCCTTCGACCGATTACGACCCGTTCCTCGGCGGACTCGACAACAATTCGTATGGTTGGGAAATGTGGGACATGATGCCTGGTGCCACGACCAATAACCAACTCTCGGCCGCATTCTTCGGCGGGTTCAATATGATGACCGAACCGGAATGATGGATGGGATCTGGTGGACGATGAGCACACACTAGTATCCAGACAGACTTGAATGGAGATGAAGAAACGATTGCTTGGAAACGGCGCAAAACTTGTCAGGGTCGGCATATAAAAGAGGGCAAGATGACTTGGTTGGGTTGAATTGAAAGGTCTTGTATAGTACACACCATCTCCTAGGAATACGGGCCCATGGGCTTCAAGAACACGGCGTTGGATACCCAACTCTCTCAAAAGGTTACTTGTTTCTTGCTTCTTCCCTACTTTAATTTTTCCGTTTATATAAATATATACAATAGGACTTGTAATAGTATAGCGATTGGGAAAGAACTCTAATATATTAGATATCACATAAAGAAGCTGGCTGCCACATATACAATACGTGAGATACCACATACAGGGGGTGGTGTTGTAGAGAAAGGTAAGATGCCCAATTCGTCGCATTAGGGAAAGCGTTGATGTCTCTGATTGGGGGAGGGAGGACCCTTGATGCCATAACCGGTCATACACCCACACTATAGTTCCTGCTTCTTCCCACACAACGGACGACACATGAGTCCCTGCATGGAGGGCGAAACAGATGAACGTCCATATACGATTGCCAAGATGAAATTGCCGAGACTCGAGAAGAAAGAAGAAAAAAAAAACAGAAGGGAGGAAAAGAAGGTGTAGATCTCAAAAATGAAACGACATCCAGACGGTAGAATAAACCAAATGTCGAGATTAACGACGGACCTTTTTTATTTTACTCTCCGAACAGTCTCCCGACCCAAGGGCCTGCCGAGCTGCAACCGTGTCCATGTTGACCCCCTAAAGGGTTGTCGACACGGTTCACTCGGCCGACGTTCGTGACTATCTGGAGAGAAAAAAAAGGAGGAGAAGAAAGCGGAGGAGATGATAAAAAAAAAAAACTTGAACTAAAGAGGAGTGGTGGTGGGGTGCTGAGTCATCAATTCAAGCACGTGCGGTCGGAACCGGGACTAGAAGGCACGTGACTGGTGACATGAGCAATTCCCAGGACACGATTGGACGGCGCCAACCGAGGTGCCGGGTTCCCATCCAAGGTCCCCATTTCGTCAACGTCTCTTGCTCAAACAATCCGCATCATCAACCCACACCTGGGAGAACTTGTGTGTCTGGAACAGCATACGACGTTGCGCAGTCACGTCTCTCTTTCCCTCTTCTCATTTTTCCTCTCTTCTATATCTCATTTTAGGCTCTTATTCTTCTGAAAGTCCGACTTCTTTTTCCCACAAGACACCATGCTTAACCAGAGGGTCGGCATCGCCGCCATGCGAGGTAAGTCACGGAACCCACCCCCCCCCCCCCCCTTCCAAGTGGGAAGGGTAAAACAGGCAGGCCATTGGGAAGGCGTGTGTTTGTGTGTCCCTGAATACTGACAATGTCGCCTTCCTTCATTTTTCGAAAAAAACCAGGCGCGGTAGCCAAGCCCTTCTCTGTGCAGAGTATCCCCAAGATGGCCATGGCCATGCGCATCCCTTCGCGGTAAGCAAGGATATACGACGGAACACTCGGGACTCGGGGAGTATGGGAGGAAAGGCAGTCGAGTCTCAACTGGCTAACTCGGTGGACTGGATCGGGATCGGGTCGGTTTCACAGACACCTCACGACGGAAAAGGCCACCCCGACCGAGGGCAACGAGATCCTGGCTAGGCAGCGCCTCAACCGCCCGGTCTCGCCCCACCTGGGCATCTACAAGCTCAACCAGACCTGGCTGGGCCACTCGGCCTGGACGCGCATCACCGGGTGCACCCTGTCGGGCGCCGCCTACGCCTACTTCGCCGCCTACCTCGTCTCCCCGCTGCTGGGATGGCACCTCGAGAGCGCCAGCGTGGCCGCCGCTTTCAGCGCCCTCCCCGTCGTCGTCGCCGGCGGCATCAAGCTCGCCCTCTCCTTCCCCTTCACCTACCACTTCATCAACGGCGTGCGCCACCTCATCTTCGACATCGGAAAGGGCTTCACCAAAAAGGAAATTGTCAGGGGTGAGATTGCCCTCTGGTCCTTGAGTCTAGTCGGAAGCCTGTTTCTTGCTTTCGGCCTGTAAAGGAAGATGATGATGGGAAGGGGAAACTTGGTTGGTCGGATCAGAGGCGGGGGAGGGGGGGAACAAAGATACAAAAAAAGAAAAAAGAGGGAAAAAAAGACTGTAATAACAGAGGATGATATCAGGGGAGTCCCAAAGTGTTGGACGTGCATCGGACTTGTCAAACACCACGCATACCGGGGTTTTTTTTTCATACAAATTATATATATGTTTTTCTTCTTTGTTTAATCCTTAGAGCTCGAATGCTATGATATCTCCTCTTTGTTTTTTGCCCTTGCATAACGCCAAAATCGCCATTCCACTCTCCCTTCTCCAGAGCAAATAAAATATTGTGGAAAAAAAAACCAAGGGGGGGAAAAAAAGAAAGAGAGAGAAACAAAATCAACCCAAATTACGTGCATCCAAAATAGTCATGATGAGTTTCCGATTGCCAGAACCAGCAACCTTGTTACCGATGGTAGGACCAATCCAAGCGACGAGGTCGGCCTTGTGCGATTCAGACAGCGTGCCGGTGCTCCCACCGTCCACGGCCATGGAGTTGCCGCCGTCGTGCTGACCGTCCTGGACGAGCTTGTCGACGTCGGCGAGGGAGGCCACGGCTTGGAGGATGGCCTGTACGAGCATCTCGTAGTCGATGGACGGAGCGGCCGACTTCTCCCTGAGCGGCTGGAGGATCTGCTCGTCAAACAGGCGCAGGCTGCGCAGGACGAGCACGCGGATAGCCTCAGGCCCGCCGGCCTCGAGGATGCCTAGGACGGCTCCGTACAGGACGGCCGGCGGCTTTGTCGGGTCGAGGAGGTACTTTAGGCAGGTGCGGGTGAGCTTGGGACGGAGCAGGGTGTTTGTGGAGGCGTATTTGCGGGCGATACGACCCACGAGAGAGGCGGCCAGCTGACGAAGCTCGTATTGCTCCTTGATGGTGCTAGAGTCAGAGTCATTGTTGTTGTTGTTGTTGTTGTTATTGTCGCTACTGAGGCTGCTGGTCCCATAGGAACTACCGAGCTTGCGGGCCATCAGACAAGTCAGGACGGGCGCAGACAGCGGACTGGCGTACGGGTCGAGGAAGAGCGTCTTGTTCTCGATGAGGGCGTGCGTCAGCTCCATCATCTGCTTGAGAGTGAAGGTGTCGTCGAGGTTGTGCGTCACGCGGTCCATGATGAAGTTGATGAAGTAGGGTATCAGCTGGTGCAGGCCCGGGTCGTCTCGCACGGAGCCCAGCGCCGCCTGCCGCAGACGCGCCACCTCCTCGTCCGGACTGTCGTCGAGGATGGCCGCCTGGATCTTGTCAAAGTACAGTATCAGTTCCTTGCTGACGATGTGCTTGACGGCAGGCTTGCCGCCCGCGCCTGCACCACCACCGCCGCCATCACCGCCGCCGCCGCCGGCACCACTCCCCGCCGCACCGCCTGCCGCCGTAGTTGCCACGTCATTGCCCGAGAGCGCCGACAGCGCGGGATTCGCCCCGGGACCCTTGGGCATGTAATCTTGGGATCGCGCCTCGGTCGTCGTCGGGTTCTGCGGTATAGACGGCTGCACGCCTTCGATGGCCAACCAGTGAGCTGCACACATAGAGCAACGCATACATTCGCATCGTCAGTCGAGTATTAACTATCACGAGAGAGAGAGAGAGAGAGAGAGAGAGAGAGAGAGAGAGAAAGTGAAGAAAATGAAACACCCCAGGGAGGTGAGGGCGGTAAACTTACCCGTCAGACTCATATCACGCGGCACCTTGGGAAGCGGTGCATTGATCAGCTTCTCAAAGTCCACCTCCTCATCCTCAATGTAGAAGAGGGGCTGCCCGGGGCCGAGGCTGGCCTCGCCGAACCGCAGAGGTCGAGTCGAGTCGTATCCGTACAGGGGCTCGGCGTCGAGCACCCTGAGGGCGAGCGACACGTCGTTGACAGTCATAGTGGTCCGCCGCGCCGCGCGCATCAGCCGCAGCGCCTCGATGATGACCTGGCCGATGCGGTACTCGACGTCCTGCGTCAGCGCCTTGAGCGCCTCCTCGTTCAGGGAGCCGATGCCCACCGACTCGGCTACATCCTTGATGTTTTCGGGGTTCCACAGGAGTCTGGGGTCTCCTCCGCTCGCCATGGTTGCAATGTCTTCTCCCTTGGAAAAATTGATGCGGCTTTTGGTCGATCGCTCATGAATCTGATGTGAGCGCCGTCTGATCTGCTTCCGACGGGGACGTGAAGTTGCCTTGGGCGGCCGCGAGTGACGCGAAAAGCTTGTGTGGGGCGGCTTCCGATCTTGAAAAGTAGAATACCCTATACTTACTTATCTTGGGCTCTTCTACTCCTCCGCCGGCTATCGTGTTTAACAATCCCTGATTGAGCCAGCCTGCTTCTATGTCAAAATGTAATCTGATTCTGGTGTGTTTAGAGTTTCAATATTATATATGGCTCAGTGAGCATTGATACTGCATGTTGAAAATAGATCATGTGATTGTACAGAGACATCAGTATATAATATTATATATCAACACTAGTCTAAATCATCTCACACCTCAACCAACTTCCCATTTACCTCATACCCACACATCGAAGGAAACATACGTATATATATATAAATATATATACACCCAAGACGAGCTGACAACTAAGGTGCTATAATACCACACACACATACTACTTCAAAACCGCTCACTTCTTGTCAGACATCCTTCTTACCCTTGGAACTCCCTTTCTTCTTCCCGTTGGGCACCTTCTTTCGATTCACCTCTGGGATCTGATACCCTCTTTCCCTCTGGGGCCTGTTCCTCTCCCAAAAGTCACTCGTATCCGTCACTAGTCCCCGTCGAGCGTCTCTCCAGTCATCAGACGGCCCATTGTTTCGGCCCCCCCCGCTGCCGCTGCCGGTACCCCCGCCTGCTCGCTGCCGCTGCCACTGGTCCTGCCTCTGCCGCTTCCGCCACCGGCTCAGCGCTGCATCGACGACAGGCTCGAGCGTGAGCTCGTACGCCCAATGGAGCCCATCGTACGCCGTGTCGCGGGACCAGAATATGAATCGTCGCGCCGTATCGCTGAAAGCTGCTATGAGAGAGATGACGATGAGGGCAAAGCTGGACGGGAGGGCGATCATCCCGATGACTTGTAGCGGCAGGGGACCGTTGTCGTCCCACTCGCGCGTGTTCATGCCGAAGAGGCTGGTGAAGAAGCTGAGTGGGAGGAAGATGATCGTAAAGACGGTGAAGATCATGACACTGCGGCCCTGCGAAGTGGCCAGGTCGGCGTGCAGCCGGCTGAGACGCACCTCGTCGACCTGGGCCTGGCGCTGCACCATCTGCAGCAGCTTGTCGTACTCTTCGCGTGTCATGCGCACGCGCTGCGTCATGTCTTCGGCCCTGCGCCGGTACTCGGCCACGCGGCTGATGGCCTCGGCTATGAAGCCCCGCCCGTGGACCGTCCGGTCTCGCAGCGCAGGGCTGCCGTACGCCGTCAGCATCGAGGACAGCACCACCTGCTGCCGCTCGAACAGCTCGAGAAGCACCTGGAGCTCGTCCTCGAGATCCCGGAGCTCCAGAAGCGCCGACGTGTTGTCACGGTTCTCCTTCTCGGCCCGTCGCCCTTCCTCCCTGTGCCGCCGTCGGATAGAGCTCTCCCTGTTCTCCACCGGTTCGTCGGCAGCTGCCTTGTCCTTGAAGCCTTCGACGCGGAACATCTTGAGGGAGAGCGTCAGCTTCTCTGTCAGGACGCTGATCGCCTCGCCAAAGATGCGGAACACCTCCAGATCCGGGTGCGATGTGCGGTCTAGGAGCACGCTGACGGCATGCAGTGCCGCGAGGGCTGCGAGGTCGAAGCTGTTTTCACACTGGCGGGCCATATCTATGTTGACTTCGTTGACGATGCTGTCCCGCAGGTCGGCCTGCTGGTACAGAGGACCCTCGATGGGGTCACTTTCTCTCTTGGGAAAGAATGAGATGAGCGTTTCTAACCCGGTATTATCCACATCAGCGTCTTCCTGTAGGAGATCAAGATAAGGGAGTCATCATCATTCGACGTACCGTAGTCCACGGCCCAGAGCCACAGCTGGTCAACCATGAGGACGTTTCCATTGCGTACGCCGTCTCTCGGTCCATCATTCTGCTCCTGTATCCTCTCCAGCTCGGCCAGCTCATCCCCCCAGCTCCCGTGACTCCCATTGGTCCCTACCCTGCTGTTGAGGGAGTAGGTGTAGACGTCGCCGTGGTACTGGCCGTAGCGACAGTCCCTCTCTTTCGTCAGCTTGTACAGCATCTGGTCGTCGTCCCTGCCGCGCGTGTCTCCAAGTGCCGGATACCCGAACTGGTCGAGGCTGCGGCGGCAGTTGACGGGCGGATCATAGCCCAGGTATTCCCATATGACCTGCAGCTCTATCGAGTCCGTCTTGGCCACGTCTTCCGGAACAGGGTGAGCACGGCCACTGGACAGACGCTGAAATATAAGCTCCCTTCGACGTATCAGGCGCTTGTAAGAGTCGAAGTGGAGGTAAGGTAGGAAGAGACACAGAGGGACGGCGGCAGGTTGCTGAGGGAATGGGGACTTGGGCGGTGATAGCGAGCGATTGAGCGGTGACACTGGTACGTTGATCAGTAGATTGCTCAACACTCTTCATAACCTTTTGGTTCGATGCAGGTGTGCATATACAGCGGGTGAGATGACATACATGCCCGTGGAGCTGTGAAATAGCATCCAGGTTTCGCATAGTAGGCATAATGCTGAGAGTGCCTCCCGCGTGTGTGCTTGGAAGCCCAAAAGTCGGGACCGTATAGAGCCGAGTAGTCTTCCTGATGCGCAGCTTCCAAGGTCTGTATGATTTTCTACCGACATGATACTCGTTAGAACCCGGCGACGGGAGCCAGTGTTGGGTTGACAAGCACTTACATTGACCCAGGTCGGATTATTGTAGGGCAGATGCACCCACACAAACTTGCGCTGGCTTGCGGACGGAGTAAAGGAAAGGGCGGGCTGACCGGCCAGCGCTGCAGTCCCATCCATCTGCTGCTGCGCATCACTGCTAGCGGTAATGGCATCGGGAAGCTGAGGGAGGGCCTCGATCTCGTCGTCATCGACCACGACGGAGCCGATATCGTGCTCGTCCCGCCACAGCCTCCTCCGGCTATGCGCATCCATCGTGCTATGGCTGCGCTGCTGGGAAAAGGGCGGGAAGTCACGGTACATGTACGGCGACGACAGGTCGCTGACAGACCGGCCGGTGGACAGGAACGAGCGTGTCCTCGTCGGAGGGGACAGCCTGTCGATGGCGAGGTCCTGATCAACCTCCGGACGGATGAGGGGCGATGGGCGGCGCAGAGGTGCAGAATAGCGCGTGGTAGCCGTCGTCGTGCGTGCGATCGTAGGCAGGGGAGGCGACGACAGGCGTCGAACGCGTGCGTTCTGCGCGGCCGGGGATCCAGTGACATTCACGGCACTGTGCGGGACGGACCTGGGGCTGTCGATGGGCCTGGTGACGGGCGACGTGGGAGGCGTGTCGGCCCTCCTGATGAGCTGGTTGGCTATTCCGAGGCCTTCCTTCTCCGACACCTGGCGTCTGATCATGTCCCTCTCCGCCTCGGTGAAAGGGGGGAATGTGCCGCCGGGACCGACAGAGCGGCCGAGAGGTTGACCGGCATTATCTGGGGAGGACACCTGCTCGACCTCTTGTAGGCGCTCCTCCAGACAGACGTCGGGCCCCTTTCGCAGGAACTCGGCCAGGGTCAGCTTGGTGGACCAGGCCCTGACGACGACGGACGAGGCACCGGCGGCAGTCGTGGTGGGATCCTCAAAGAAGCCCCTTACCTCTACGGACACGCGCTGCTCCAGGTCGAGGGACCAACGCGCCGGGACGTTGCCCGCGTCGGTGCGGAGCGTTGCATCGGCCCGATCGATGAGGAGGGATAGCTGGCGCAGAAACAGGCGCAGGGTGTGCATGTTCTGCCGGCCAAACGAGGCGACGTTGGCGTGGTCGCTCTGCAAGGGGAACACGCGCTCCTGCCGCATGCCGAGGATGGCAGACTTGATGGACGTCAGCGGAGCTGTGAAGTAGACGCCGCCGCCGCCCTGCCTCCTGCTCTTGCTCATCGTTACCTCGCCCGCAGCCACGGTGGAGGCACTCAGACGCGAGTCGATGGTCTCGTAGAAGGTCCACACGCGCATCTCGTGCGCAATCGACTTGAACTCGCTGTCCGCTAGCAGCAGCTGGGGGTGGCCTACGTCTAGGATACTCGTTATGGAGAGAGGAAGCGGCGCCGAAAGCTGGAGGGTGTTCTGGATGCTTGAGGCGAGGCCGGGCATGGCAAAATAGCTCGACCCCTGGTGTGGTGTGCCTGGAATGGAGAATGTATTAGTTGATGAAAGATGAGAAATACAGAAGATCAAAGTATGCAAAGGAGTTTACGAAGAAGAAGAAAAAAACCCACCAAAGAAGACGACGGCGTAGCAGTCACGAACAATGGACTCATGCCTAGCATCTCGACTCGCCTTGACGAGGGCCATCTTGACGACAATGCCACCGATGCTGTGAGCGATAAACACCAGGGGCCTCCTCTCAGTGCCCCCATCCCCTCCTCCTGAACCTTGACGCTCCCTCAGGGACGCAAGCTGCTCCAGCAGCTCCCCGGCCAGACCGTCCAGAGTGACGCCGTCCTCAAGCGGGGGGTGTTCGTACAGAAGGATGCGAGCGACGTCAGCTCCGCGCCGTATGCCCTGGCGCACCCACGAGGATGCCGACGCGGGCCTGTCGACCTCTGCGTCGCGCATCGACAGGGCGCCAAAGTATCGGCCCAGGAGCCCGTCGCGGTTCCAGCTACGCAGTGAGTCGGCACCGGGACATGGCACGGTGACTACGTCGACCGTCGTCTTGTCGTGGGTCCGGTCGCCGGCCGGGTCGATGGTGAAGCGCATCGGAGGTGGCTGCTGTTCAGCTTCATCATGTTGGGTGGACTCGTCATAGTCACTCCCGTCCTTTTCTTCCGCTCTCAGATCCAGAGGTATCTCGTCCGTTGGTTGTCGAAGAGTCTCATTTTGCAGAGGACTTGTACCGTGTCTCAAGCTGGAGAGTCTAGGCCTTATTGTGGTATTGTCGCCGTCGACGTCGCCGCCGCCGTCGTCGTTGTTGTTGTTGTTGCTGTTGTTGTTGTACGCATCAGCGCCGGGAGACATGGTGGACTTTTGGGTTCAGGGTAAGGATAGATCCTCCAAGAAGTCTGGCTCGATTCATCTCTTCTCCCTTTTTACTCATTCTTTCATCTCTTACTCCCATGAAGCTGTTATTATAATATTTTCTCTCCGCTTACCAATAAAATCACATTGCATCTATTGATCCGTCCTACATTATAGTGTCACTAGGCAGCAACCTCAAGATATACCTAGCAGCTTGTGACTCGTTCTCTCCATAGTAGACGGCGTGATGTAACAACTCACTCTGCCATCATTCCGCGGGATTGGCAGACGGAAATAGAACAATAAGAAATGGAGAAAAGAGTCATGTAAGGCTTTCCCGTGACGTTAGAAGACCCTCCCCCCACGTTACTCTATAGATATCTTATACCCCCTTCCAACGTGTGACGGGGATGTGAGACATGCAAGGCTACCGGGCGCGGGGCGCATGACTGATGCGGGTCATGTAGCATGTGACAAGCCAGATGCGACCCAGTCTGAGCCTCTCATCTCTCATGAACCATGTGAGGATTGCTTAGAGTATTGGGAAAAGAAAAAGTAAAGAGTATACATTCATGTATGCATCATGCTTGCAGTACAAGGGAGAGAACGCCACAGCTTCATTCGTTCTTCAGAGTCCGCACGATGCGCGACCAACATGTTAGCATCGATAGTATTATTTGGTAGGAATACATATACAGTCACCATCCCGAATAAGTATAAGAAGAGAACGGGAGGGAAAGGAAGAGAAGAAAAAAATAGGGCGAAGAAAGATCCTCGCCTTATTCGTCTCCGCCCTCCACGAGGCTGTAATTCTCGATCGCGTGACAGCTCAAGATGGCCTCGACGTACCGCCTATTCTCCACGGTACATGCCAGTGATGGTCGAATGACAAAGACGCCTCCCTGTCCCATGGAGAATGACTTGCCGTCCATCCTGAGCTCGACCTTGCCCGATATGACCTCACAATAGCGGAGTCTCCCCCTGTCGGCTGGCCATCTATGCATCGCGCCGGGCGGCATATGAACCCTGTTGATGCTCACATCGTCGGCAATGCTGATGGGTTGTGTACCCGTGAGATATGACGTAGAAAAGGCGATTGCTAGGTCACATCTTGTCAGCTTTTTTTTACCACCCACCCCCCCCCCCCTCTCTCTCTCTATATGGGTATGTGTGTGTGTGTCTGATCCGGTGTGTGTCTGAGAGAGAAACCAAAAGAGACAGCACGAGAGAACGGATAGAATACAGACAGAACTTACTTTGCCTTCCCTTGCTATCCATGACTTTACCGGGAGCAAACTCCCAGTCCTCCATCACAGTCATACCGTCATTCTTATTCTCCGGCCGAGAGGAGGGAGCATCAGCCATTGACACATCAGCGCTCTTCTGGACGCTCGTGCGCAGCCTAGGAACAGGAGAAGAAGAAACAGCAGCAGAAGCATCAGCAGTAGCAGCAGCAGCAGCAGTGACAACAGCAGCAGCATCGTGACCGGCACGAGCAGACTCCAGCGCGACCCCTCCAGATGGGCTGCTGCTGGTGCCGCCGCCAGGATTTCTATCCTCGACCCTGGGAGCGGCGACGACCTTTGGGGAGACGACAGCCCTGGAGGTCCCAGTAGAAGGCGACGAGGGGTACCGGGCTCCGGGCGCTGGGTGAGCCCAGTCGCACGGGTTAGACTTGCGAAGGAGCTGGGCCCAGTACCTGCACCCGACGCACGTGGCAACCTTTGAGAACTGCAGCTTGGCAGGCGGAGGCATCTCCGGGGGCGGGCGGATGCATGGTCTCGAGAGGCGGAGTGAGTTCTTGGCCGTCCCGGTCACCGCCACGTCGATGTGGTGGCATCTCTCCGACGGCGACGACACCTCTTCGCCTACAATGTAGGCCAGGGAGCAGGAGTAGAGCTGGGGTTCCAGCACGCGGCCCCCGTGGTATGCAAGCCACGCCTCCGGCAGTTCGCGGCGGATGGGCAGAAGGGCCATGTATTTCACGTCCTCTCTGAAGATAGTGGACTGTGAGCTGCTCAGGAAGCTGTGCAGGTACCTCAAGGCATCGCCGCGTCCCGGGTCCGTGCTTGCGGCGGTGGTGGCGGTGGCGGCGATGGGTGTGGGCCTCGACGGGGAGGCGGCAGAAGGAAGAGGGCGAGGAGCAGAAGCAGGAGAAGGGGCGGGGGGCGGGGGAAGTGGTGCCGGCTGCAGCGGGACCGGCGGAGATGAGTTGAGCGGAAGAGGATTCTTCGATACGATAACACCGGGGAGGCTCTTCCACGTGTCGTGCGTGTACGGGCCGATGCGAGACAGCGTGCCGTCACCGTTGTCGTTGAATGTGACCTTGCAGTGACAGGAGCGGAAGTGACCGCCTAGCGTCTTGATATTGGATATTTGCTTCTGGCAATCACGCACGGGACAGATGTACGGTGCTATGTCGCTGTTGACAAGCTTGTAGCCCGTGGGGATGAGGGCTCCGCGGGCCGACGTGAGACGCCCGTCAACATCTACATGTCAGACAGAATGAAGACCGACAAGTCAGCTTCCCACCTCTCCATTTCGTTTCGCCGTTTGCGTATCGTGGACTTGCTTGCGTACCTATCAGTTCATTATAGCTGCGGTTCTCCGTCATCGTCAGCACAGGCATCGACTTCCCATCTGCATTGACCACGCTGCCCTTGTATGTCGCTATGTAGGCGAGTCCGAGTGTTGTGGATCTAACGGGTTTCACGTCTCCGTGTGCATCGTCGCCCGACTGCTGCCTTTCCACGACCTGCTTGGGCGGCGTCTGATCCGATTGCCCCAGGCTGACCTTTTCACCATTCGCGTCCGTGGCCTGGGTGCTGGACGTACACACGACGATGCTTTCGAGTTCGACCCGTGGTTGGCTCATCTTAGATGGCGGCTCCGCAGAAGACGACGAATCCCTGTTGATCTCGGCAAAGGACCGCTTGTGAGACCGCGCCTTGGACGGCTGCAGCTCCCCCGCCGCTTGATAGATCTTTCGCTGTCGTTCGAGATCAGCAGCTACGGGATACGAACCCGGTCAGTCACCTCTCTTCTTCCATTATTCTTCCACTTTTTTTTGTGCTGTCTTGGGTAGTTTCCGAAACTCACCAGACCACGTGGGATGATTCGAAGGTCCAGTAGCTGAGGGCCTTAGCGGTTGCGGCTCGGGTGGTCCGTTCTCCAGGATATCAGACACGCCTTCGTCCTTCTCCGACCCCGAGCCAGATTCGCTGCCGTCGTCACCATCGTCCGATTCATTGTATTCCAAGTCGTCCGAGGAGCGACCCACCCTATGTAGGCCACTTTCACTCTCCGTCTGACTCTTGGCTTCAGCCTGACTGTTGGTCGTAGACGGGGTCTGGCCATTCGCCCCAGTCGACTGCTTCACCTCACTCTGCCTACTCATCTCGCTCCTCTTCCTTGCCTCCTCCCACTTGGCCTGCAATGCTTTGATGCGCGCACTATCCGCCAGACTATTCTTTGATATTGACGCCATGACCGACGGCTTCACCGCAGGCTGCTGCGATGCCGGTGATGTCACCGGCGACGCCCTGACCGGCGATGCTGTCGCCGATGGACTGTTGGTATGCTGCGGGTCTACCAACGGAGAGCCCACCTTTTTGTTTGGGTTACTAGCCATAAAGGGGGCAGTCCATGGCGTTATGCTGGTCCGTCTGGCTGTTTGTTTGGGTTTGTCGGGCTTTGGAGCCTCTACCAGATTCTTCAGGCTGTCCATCATCACTGACACATCGCGATCAAAAAGCTTGCTCCTGTCTTCTTTGCCCTCTTTCTCCCTCCTGCCCCCTGGCACGGATCTAGCTAGCTAGTACCGTGAATGGACGTCGTTGGGGTGGGGCGCATGCGATCTATGCGCGGGAGGGCACGCGACGTTCGACACAGCCTGGCGATGTATTCCCAAACGTTCAAGAGACGACTCTCGGGACACTGGTATCTGCGTCCTGAGGTCTTTGTGTGTTGCGTGAATGAACGGGTGTGATGACAATCAACAAAGCTGGATGTGACTGAGGTTGTTGTTTGGACGCGGTGTGAAGAACGCGCTGCAGCTAGTACGAGTAATGCATGTATCTTCTCTGGTTAATTGTGTGCGGAAGGTACATTGTGACACGAGACCCTGTCCTTTGTGAAACCAAACCAACATGTCGTGGGGAAAAAAAAGAAAAGAAACAGACATGAACAGATCAAAGAAAACCCGCCTTCTCCTACGAGTAGATTCGAAGGGAATTCAATCATACAGAGACTCTATAGTGATATAATACATGTAGCAACATGACAATTGTACAGACACAGGAGCGCTTAACAGAGCGCTCCTTAGAAACTCCTTCTTTCTCTCGCGGGCTTTCACCTGCACCATACTGCCCCTTATTTCTTAGCTTTCTTATCCTTCTTGGCCTGCTTAGCCATCTGCTTCTTGCTCATGGGCTTCTTTGACTGTCCGCCGTCGGAGGCGCCGAGGCGGGCCCTGGTCTCAGCGGCCTTCTTCATGCCGGCAATCTCCCTCTCGCGACGCCAGCGACGGTTGCGGAACCACTGCTTGCGGGTGCGGAAGCTCTTTGTGCGGATGGCCGTCGTCTTGGCCAGCCGTCCGATGCGCCAGTTGTCCTCACGGTACGAGTAGTCGGCGCGCAGGCGGAGCAGGCGGTCGGGCTCACCCTTCTCCACGCGCGTCACCTCGAAGGGGATACCGGAGGGCGAGATGGTTGGCTGGGAGGCGGCCTGCTTGGTGGCGTGGGCCGTCAGACCCAGCCTGCGTCTCCTCTCGGCGTGCACCGGGTAGGGCAGCACGTCATCCTTGTTGAAGGTGACGCCGATGTACTTGCGGTCCGGGTGCCGCGCCGGGTCCCGGTAGTACTTGACGTAGCCCGTCGCCATCGAGTGGATGCTGAAGTCGCGGCCCATGATGCAGTTCTCTCCTGGCCACCAGTGAGATCCGCGCTGCTTGTAGATGATGTTGCCGGGGATGACGAATTGGTCTATCGGTCCACCCCTCTCACCGGTCAGTACATACCACTCCTCCCGAGGGAAGACGATGGAAAGAAATACGAGAAAAACGTACCTCCTGTCCTCTTGGCCCCCAGCTTCTTGGGAATCCCCCTCTTGCTCTTCTTTTTGTACGCTCCCTGCGCCTTGACTGAGGCGAAACGCACGCCCTGCACCGCCAGCCGCTGCTGCGCGCCCATGATCATCGGTGCCACGACGCCCACCCTGGGGGCCAGGCATGCCGCCGTGGAAGCCAGAAGCGGCCGTTGCATCGTTAGGAATCGCATGGCCGTTCGAATGTCGTCTCCCTTTTCCGTTCCTTCCCCCTGGGCTCTGCTGTCGTGGACTGATTTTGGGGGGGGGGGGGGGGGGGGGGGGGGGGGGGGGGGGAGAGAGAGAGAGGGGGTGTTTGTTGAGATGGTCGTACTGTTGCCAAGGACGCAGCTTTCTGAATCCTCCAAATTGAAGTCACGTGTGGGTCATCCTGGCTAAGCCTCGACCTCTATGCATCAGATATTTCAGCGCCTAAGGCATCGTACCCGTGCCTGTACCTGTGCCTGTACCCGTATTGTACGTATAGTTCAGACCGGCTTAGTCACTTCTCTTCCCCATTGCGCATCGTGGTTTATCGATAAGCCAAGTCAACCCAGATGCCAGCTTGGACACTTTTGAACTCCGTCCCGTTACTGCATCACCGCCCCTCCCAACCGACATCACAATTTCGAGCTGCACGCTACGAGGCCTTTTCCCATGATGCGTTATCTATTTGCCCTGTTTGCCCTCCTGACTGTCGCTAACGCGCAGTTTGGCAACCTATTCGACCAAATGTTCGGTCAGGGCGAAGAGTCGGGCCAGCAGCAGGGCCGTCGAGCTGCCAACAATCCCAGCGACGCGGCGCAGTACCGTCAACGATATGAGCAGTGTATGTCATCACGATACTCTCTTGCATATACCGCTCCGCCTTTCATATGATCTGGGAACCCCGGAAGGAGATTTGTGAACATGAAGAAAGAAGGAAAGAAAACTGACTTGAAGTGGACAGCTTCTTGCGACAAGTACCTCTGCCCTGACACCCTCGCATGTGTCCACTTCCCACATCACTGTCCCTGCGCGTGGGATTCTCACGAGGACAAGTATGAGCTCTCCGAGGGACGTAAGCTGTGCGTGTCAAAGGGTGGGTTCAAGCCCGACGAGGCTGCGCGAAAGATCGAGTTGGCTAGGAAGGGACTCCTATAGATTCTCTCTACATCTTTTTCCGCAATGCTCTATACACTTCTCTCTCCACGATACGACATCATTCCATACGACCTTTTAGATGATTCAAAGGAATCAAGACGAAGAAAACCAAGATGACTCAATACCACACGATGACCGGGCCGAGCGGACGCGTCGAAGAATAAAGAAATTAACAATTCAAGACTATTAAGAGAAAGCACCCATGTATCCTTGCTCCTCTCATCCTCCACCAGTCCAATGCATGATTTGCTCAAAACCTCATGAGAGTGTGTATGGTATCAAACGAAATAAAGGTGCTCTGGTTACAAAGTTCCCGCATCAGACAAAGTACCCTCCAACCCAAAAGAAACAGTAATAAAAAGTTAAGATAAAAAAAATCAAGTCAACGCCCCGTTAAGGAAACAGACTTGATTAACCCCCCAGCAAGGGGGGAGCAGACGGCAGAAAAAGCGCACGTGTGTGGACGAGTCAGTCTACTATAAGATGAACTTCGAAGAAGAGAAGAAACATGTCCGCCGAAAAAAAAGCAGAGAAACTACTTGCTCCCGTTGAGGCCCTCGGGCAAAGGCGGCATAGGCGGCGGCTCACTCTGACCGTCCTCATCCTCCTCCTCATCGTCCGGCAGGGCATCCGGGTTACCCAACAGCTGGGCTACGTTCTTCATCTCATAGTGTCTCTTGCGCGCCTGCTCGAAGCGAATGTGCTTCTCTCGCTCCTCGGGCGACAGGCCTGCCAACTCGGCGTCGTCGGCATCGTGTCCGCCCACGCTGCCGTGATCGACGTGGGCCCTCTTGGGCGACGAGGGCGATGGCGAGGACGACTGCCTGTCGGGGACGGCCTCCTCCGGCTCGCCGAGTGACAGGCCGGGGATATCGTCCTCTATTACCGGGCGGCGGGAGGCGGACGGAGCGGTGCCGTCGGACCGTGAAACGGAGGCGGAGGAGAAGGGACCGTCGGCCCCACCGTTGTTGAACCGGTACGAGTCGTCATCCTCGTCGTCGGAGGGCTCCTGTCCCGGGTCGTAGTGTCGTACGTACGGCGTCTTGGGTTCGTCAATCTTCATCGTCGCCGTGCGCTCCTGCTCCGTCAGGTACAGGTTCGCCTCGTCCCACTTCAAACGCTGGCCAGCGCCTGCCTCCTCCTCGGACACTGCCGACGACGCCCGGCGCGATCCGGGCCTTCCGTGGCGGGCGGCCGATGACGAACGCCGCGCCCCTGCGTTGAAGTTTGTGTTCTCAATCGTTATCTCCTTGCTCGACATGGACCGCTCGCGGCGTCGGGAGTCGGCGTCACTGGCGGAGCTGCCGGGCGTCGTGGCAGATGTACCGGTCATGGCCGTGTCGACGCCCACTGCTGGTAATTCACGCGGCACGCTGCGTGTCGAGCTCGAATTCTTCAGGATGCCCTTGGGTCTCTTGGTGTCTGGGCCCGGTGGCGAGTGCACCGGAGGGGAGTGTTGGACGATGGAAGCCATGTTGTTGTATGCCTCTTTGCAAGATGTTAGAAAAGTGAAGACAAAGAAAAAAATGACGACGTGGGTGAGGTGAGGAGGAGAGAGAGAAAGAAAGAAGGAGAGAAAGAAGGAGAGAGAGAAAGAGAGAGAGAGAGAGAGAGAGAGAGAGAGAGAGGCACGCACGCTAGGTGGCTGGATAGGTGCCAGAAAGGAGGGGCACGAGGTCACTCTGTGGCACCCCGCACGTGAAGATGTCAGGCAACGTTCGGGAAATGAGAGCTTGTTGCTATAAGGCGGTGGAGTCCGGGTAACTTTTTATAGTGGTTTTTTTTTTTTTTTTTTTGGTAGTAATATTGAAAAGATATTGTCTGACTCTGCGTGGGATTGGAAAAAAATGTCAGGAGAGGGAAAGGTGGCAACTCCGCGAGGAGACAGACAATGGGCGGGGTGGAAGAAAAGCCTCTCTCAGACTCTGTCTCTCTGCCTCTCTCTGCCTCTCTCTGCCTCTCTCCCCCCCCCCCCCCCCCCCCCCCCCCCCCCCCCCCCCCCCCCCCCCCCCCCCATAGCAACGTCGTATCGGGTACGAAAATAACAGAAAAATCCCAAAAAAATGACGGCATATCAGGGTTCACCAAAATGTGGGGATCATCTACCCCAACCCCAGCATCTATCTACGTCACCTTACAGACTCACATCAGGCATCTTGTACTCCCGTGCCACACTGGAGAAGTGATACACGAGAATGACACAATAACGACATCACGAGCGAAGCGAGAACAGTTCCCAATAGGGACGACATGGGTGAATGAAGAGTAGTCGCTGTAGATTCTCGTCCATATGGCATTCACATATTACGTTATTATATACCTGTATATCTTTCAACTCGTTTGTGACCAAAGCTCTAAGCGCCCCAAAACAGATTTTGCAAAGAATGAAGGTCGAGGCTGTAATCACATGTATGTACAGACTTACAAGACTGAAAAAAAAAGTAGAGATGCTTGTGTGAGACGCCCGTTACGTCCCATCATGCATGCCATGAATTTCAGGAGGAGGCCCCATCTCTGTGTCAGTGGTACCACCATCGCCATCACCACCGTCCTCACCACCATCCTGATCCGCATCTGGCAAGAGGTCCACAATGGCACTGAGCAAGTTGTATGAAGTGCGCCAGCAGACACTCTTCTCCCGCTCGCCCTTCCAAATGTCAACGCAGCTACTCAGCGTATCGAGGATGATCTGACGCGGGGGAATCTTGCAGCCCACGCCTGCCGCGCCGGCAAGGGGGGCGTCCCGACGGAGCACGTGGACGCTAGCCTGCAGAGCGGCCGAGAAAAACTCGTGGGTGAAGGCGCGGCCGACGAGGTCGTAGCGGTGGGTGGGGTCCTCGTACCACAGCTCGCGGTAGTGCATCAGCACGGCCAGGGAGCACTCGAGCGACGACCAGTACGACTCGGGGAAGCGGGTGGGTCCCTCGATATGCAGAGCAAACGGTCGGTGGAGCACCATGAGGCATCGGCGGAGGTAGATGTCGACTGTCATGAACTGCAGGCGGATCGTGCAGAGCTTCTTGGCGTGCGCCATGAGAGTGCGGATCTGGGAATTGTACCGCAGCACCTCGTCGTAGGGTATGTCCTCGCCACTCGAGTTGAGCCGCACCATGATGGACAGGACCAGAGGCAGCGACTGCGCCAGCACCTGCTGCAGACCGCTGTGCTCGCCCAGGTCGGGCATGGTTTCGAGTCCGTGAAGCTCGTTGGGCCGTGTCAGAGGCGGCATGCCCGTCGGCATCGACAGTTTGATGTCGAGGTAGATGATGCTGATCCACAGCCGGCGGCGCGACGTTCGGTCCTCGGGCGACAGACCTTCGATATTGTCCTGGGGTAGGCCAAATATGAAGCACATGCGTACCAGCAGGCCCAGCAGCGACCAGCACGAGTCGACAAACCAGCACGTCGGGTTGCACACCTGCTTGGCCACCACCATAAGGCAGGTGGCCTTGAGGGCTGCAAAGGTCGGGCGAAACATGAAGGGGGTCTGCATCAGGCAGGCCTCGGCGCCCATCATGAGTTCCGTGGCCACGCTGGGCTCCTCGCGGGTCGGTGTCGCAAAGGCGCCCAGACCCAGGACCATGAGGAGCTGGGACAGCCAACAGAGGCTGACCGAGTTGGGGTCCTCCCAGTAAGCAGCCAGCTCCTTCTGGAACTTGGGGACGTCAAGGATGGGGTTGACGTAGTCGAGGAGTCTGACGTAACGGTCTATGTACTCTTGGCAATGGGGTCGTTCGCTTTCTATCAGTCTCGTCACGGCGTCGCGCGCATAGTATTTGGTGGCGCCCGGCGTGCCAAATGGGAAGTTCCCCGGGAGAGTAAAGTTGGCGAGGCAGGCGTTTGTGGCGACGTTCTCCAGGGCGGCTCCCAGGAGTGGTGAGTCTTCGGTTGTGAGGGCGCCAATCTATTGGGAACAAGAGGGTCGATCGTTAGTGGGACCGACGAGCTACGCGGTGGGAGAGAGAGAGCTGGGGGACGGAAGTTGGGGAGGGGTATGGGCGAAGCATACCTTGGTCATCAGGTCAGTCCAGTGGCTTGACCCCCGGGGCTCGTGGCTTATCTCCCATGAGGCTTGGGTTGACTTTGTGAGTTCGGTGCCTGACGACCGAGCTGTGGTCATGGGAACCGTAGGACAGGGGAACTTGCCGCCGTTAGGACCCTTATTGTAGCTGTAGTAGCATTCACGACCGTTGCCGCTCGACTTGCAACGGCCACACGGCAGCTCCTTGTCGCACTTGACCTTGAGGCGATGGCAGCGGAGGCAACTCGAGCAATTACGCTTGCGCTTGCGAACGACACGCTGGGTAGCGGCGGCAGCAGCCTGCGTGGCATTGTCGGGTTGGTCAGCGGCGGCAGCTGCTACGCGCTGGGCTTCGGCGTCCTCGGTCGAGTTGGAGGGGGAGATGAGACCGAAGAGGCTGTCGGACTGCTCCTCATACTTGAGGCCAGGCGAGGTCGTGAAGCTGTTGGCGCCGTTGGCGGTGGGATTCAAGGAGGAAGCGGCGACAGCGGAAGGCTGGGAGCCCGAGGCGGCGGAGCCGGCAGTAGAGGCGGCGGCGGCCTGGAAGCTGCAGCGGACACCGGCTTGTATACACCGCGAGCAAGAGGGTTTGATGAGGTCGCAGCGACGTTTGAAGTGACGGCAACGGTCGCACGTCTTGACCTCGCGCATATGTGGCATGGCGGATCGATTGGCGGTGTCGGCGGCGTCGAGGGGCACAACCAACCAGAAGTGACCCCGGCGATGATGGGGAGACAAGAGAAAAGCAAAAGGGTTGTTTCTGTGTCTATCGGGCGAAGTTTCAATCGGGCGGATGAGACGAAAAGGCCGAAGGCCGATGTGCGGATGTCGATTGCCTCGTTCAAGATGTATGCGCCCGACACCCGAGAGAACGTATAGGCGCGCGCGCGCGAAAGGGGGGGGGGGGGGGGGGGGGGGGGGTTTTTGGGGGGGGGGGGGGGGGGGGGGGGGGGGGGGGGGGGGGGGGGGGGGGGGGGGGGGGGGGGGGGGGGCTTGGCTTTTGGAATGGTGGTGGCCCGGACGGCTGGTACAAGGTATCGTTTTCCTCCTTCTTGTTGGTGAGGAGTTAAAAGGTTGTTGGCTGTTGATTATAGTCAAGACTCGATGAACAATGGAGGGTTGTAACAACCGGAGATGGGGTGTAGCTGATGATAAGGCTGTATGGGCTGGTGGTGTACGAGCTTACCAAGGACAGTCAGTTGCAGCGGTGGGATTCTCGAGTCAATCGCGTTCCTCGGTAGTATTCGCACAGCGTAATACTGATGGGTGACAGATACACTGAGGACTCGACCGCGGACCGGTGACTGTAGTGCAGGTACCTGTACAATATGGACTTGTACGAGTACAATATGGATCGAATGGTTGCAATAATACTCTAATACTCGTTGAATGGCGGACAAGGCGTGGAAGGGGGGGAGGGGACAGAAACGTGGACTGGACGACTGTTGGCGCGCGGAGGGGGGGAGACTCGGGGAGTGGAAGAGAGGGGCCGTTTATGGGCCCATGAGGTGCTCTGACAGGCATGCAAGGTTAGCCCCGAGTGGGCATGATGGTGTGGATGGTGGTGGGTTGTGGTTGCGTTGGTGATGGGTGGATTGTGACCCTGGCGGGTTTGGTTGGGGTTGGCTTGAAACGAGGCAAACCGAGGACTCGTAGACGATGAGGAGAGACGAGAGACGAGACAAGACGATGACGGTGATGATGAGGTCGTCGCATGAGCAAAAGAGACAGAGTGCACGAGAGAGAGCAGAAGAAGACGAGGAAAGAGAGGTTCGGACAATGACCTGTATTGGATATTTTGTATCTAAGATTGTGTAAGAGATAGAGGGGACGGGAAGACGGGATGAGGCGGGAGGGTAAAATGAAGATGAAGACGAGGAGGGAAGTGGAGAGGCAATAACGGATACGATCCATCGAGTGACGGAAGTGGGGTCTTTTCTCCGTTCAGGGACTGATGGGCTCTAAAATTGCCCTGTAATAAATTATATTCTGTACAGGTTGCAGGCAGAGCGTTATTACCACTGTACGAGTACACGCACTCGTACTCCGTAGTGGCCTGTAGCCTGTATCCTGCAATCTGCAATCTGCAGCTTGTAGACTGCAACCTGTACAGGTATACAGATTACGTATATATACTTATACCTGTAGCCTGTGGCCTGTAGCCTGTACCCGTAGTGGCTGAACGGGTCGGAGTCGTCCCCCGAAAGATGCATAGCCGCTCTTGCCCTGTCAGGGTCATCCTCGGCCCTCGCTCTTTCTCTTCTTGGGTGCTCGGCAGAAGAACAAGCAATCGAGGATCCGTACATGTATCGATACTTGACTGCTCACTCACGATTTTCGAGATGTTATTATCACTGGTAAGAATGGTAAGAATAGTATTTTGAGTATGACTACTCGTACATGTACAGATGAGTAATATCGCAAGAGTACATTATACCTACTTCGGACAACTCGCCCGATATTAATGATGAGGCTATGGTTCATAAAAATAATATGACTACTACGAGCCGTCGAGTGGTGGATATTGATTCGCCGGGGATTTAGCTTGTCGTATCTAAACGCACCAGCTCATTCCCTCTTACGCCGTCAGGCACGTACAGACACACATACGCACATGGCCATCGTTCCTTCCTTTTCGTCTCACCATCTTGCTTGGCTCTTTCTCTTGTTGGCTGGCAGTGAAATAATAGTATTGTTGTTGCTGTCGCCACTTGTTCATTGCCATAAAATTGTGCTCATTGCATTCACGTGCAAGCACGCACAACCAACTTGCATTAATCATGAATGGAATAGATATGCATCGCGTCGCATCGCATCGCGTCGCATCGCGTCGCATCGCATTTGTCACCGCTAAATTATCAATGCACACTCGATTCCATTCAGCCCGTCCTAAACCACGCCGCGCACTATCTTTGGCTTAGTCTTGGCCTCTAGTCTGCTCTCTATTCGTAGTCTATCGGTTGGTTTAGTGTCCGTCTATCAATCTCATCGGCATGTCCGTTATTTCTTTCCTTTCGTTTTTCTTTATTCTCCCCCCCCCCCCCCCCCCCCTCTCTTTCTTGTCTCAATAAGGGTTCCCCATCCTGAGCGGGTGCTCACTAACCCGGCTGGGATAGGATGTGTACATTAACAGTCCCTGTTAGTATCATTACTCGAAACTAGATTCAAACAAATACACAAGTACATACATACAAGTACATACTATTTCTCTATATGATAGAACAAGTCGAAAAAAAGACAGACGCGAAAGCGAGAGAGAGAGAGAGAGAGAGAGAGAGAGAGAGAGAGAGAGAGAGGAGAAAACTGGATCAATGACATGTCGTACACATGAGATCTCGGTCAGCCCTTGCCGAATCCCACAACACACTTGCGAGTTCGTGGCTGACCGGGTCCGGCATGCGACGAACTCGGGGTACTGACTGAAACAAGTCTCGTGAGCAAGGGCTAAGGACTCGAGGAGCGCAGGAAAACAGGTTGGATAACGACAAGGAGGGCAGACGGTCATCATCGACACAGCTCCCACCACCCACCCCAAAAAGACAAGGTAAAAGAGGCGGATACCATGGCATCCCTACTACGCCGCACGAGTATCTGATTACATGCGAGGGACAGCCTGTAACGAAGGTATCACGGAGTAGAATAGTCCTCGGGGACTGTCATATTACTACCTTATACGGACCACCCTTGAGAACTGTTTGGTCAGACCGACTGTGAAGCCCTACACCGGCCGCGGATAGCATTTGCTCCGTAGCATGGCAACATGGGTAGCCCATGCCGCATGCACGAGTACGAGTAATCTGTACTCCGTACAAGCGCAGGTATTAGATACGATGCGCCGTTTTCAATGATCTGCAGAGTAATCTGTACAGGTGCGGCAGTAGCAGTACATGTACTCCAGCTGTCTATATGTACTCGTACTCGTACAGGCACGTACGGAGTACAGGCATTCACCAGATGAATGCCATTCGGCATCCAAGCAGAGTCCGTAAGTCGTGCTCCTCGATACAGTACACGTACGTGCTGCTCCGTGCATGTAGTCATAGTATTTTTAGTATATGTATGTTGTTACTAGGTAGGAAGTCCTGCTCGTACTCTGTTCTAAACCATCCTTGTTTTGCCATGTGGATCCACGTACATGTAACACAGCACACCGTTGAAACTTCCAACATGCTCTACTTTATTGTGCGAGTACTCGGAACACTTAGAGGCTGGATCACGCAGTTACATGATACTCGTGAAGCTCAGACGCCATAGGGTGCGCGGCTTGGAAACAATCAAACTCGCCCAAGTTGAGACAACAGCAACTATTCTACCTGTCCGGTGTACACGCCTCTCTCTCTCTCTCTCTCTCTTTCTCGTACGTACTCGTATAGGTAAGGTAATATTAATACAATATTGGCTGCGTAGTAAGAAAACCCGCGCCCCCTTTGCTGTACAAGTAATTACTCGTAGGAGAAGAAATCCCCATCCCTGTCTCTCGCTCTCTCTCCCTCTCTCTCTCTCTCTCTCTCTCTCTCTCTCTCCTGTCATCCACCGACAAAGGCCCACACACTTAGTTTAACCTTTCTTCTTCATTGTTCTTCCTTTTTTTTTCCTCTTCGGTTTCGTCCAACCTTTTTACCCGTACCTGTACATGTACAGTGTCTTGTTGTCTTCAATGTCTTGTCATCTATCATGAACCGTCGCCATGTGCCGCATCGAACTTTGCAGACTCGAGTCTCAGACACGTTCCTCTCTCAAGATGCCAGGGGTCCTCAGGGACGCACTCGCAAACCTAGCCAGCTTCGTTGGCCGTGACCCTTGTCTTCTCCAATACGTACCCTTGCCCATGGGGGGGGACCGGACCCACGGTCCTACGACCCACGGGTGATGATGATAATTGACGTTGCGGTGGTGATAATACGGAAAATTACTCCGTCTTCCCGGCTCTGTATTCTCAATCTTCAGTTCAAGATCAGCACCAAGACATTCTCCTACAAGACCTTTTGGAAGGTCTTACAAGACCTCTCTTACTATATGCAGTCACTGTAAATACACACGCATATCACTTGAATGCTGAGACTGCATGTACCATTGTTTCAATATTAAAACAAGTCAATCTTCTTCTCTCCTAACCTGACAAAGTAGTTTCCGCTTCATCCACGAAGGGGGAGGGGGGGTATCCATCAAATCCATCTCTCAGTTGTCTTTTTTTCCCCAGAATCCAGATAAACAAGGTGCAAATAAACAGTCAAGGAATATCAGTGTGACACGAGCATGTTTCCTCACTCTCTGGCGCCCGCACCCCATACTATATACTCATAGAGCTTTTATGCCTGTCTTCCGTTCCTTCGCTATTAGGGCGTGGGCTCCATTTCAGAGCGTGAGCTCCCCATGTCGCCTCTGGTTATAAACAAGAACAAGGGAAAAAAACGAAGAAAAAGGCAAGATATATCGTAACTGGCAAGGGAAAGACGAAATATCAGAGAAATACTAGACGCAGAATGTCAATAGTGACTGTCTCACGGTAGAGATGTCGACATGTAAATACGAGAGAGAGAAGGAAAAGGGAAGACAAGCTCAGACTTGATTCTTCTCACCAAAGCCGCCATTCTCGGCCCACGACTGCGGAGAAGGCTTGTACCCAGCCTTCTCGGCGTCGCTCTCAGCGTCCGAGAGCACACCTCCGACCTTGAAGTAGTGGCCAAAGGTGCGCGTCTCCAGGTCGACGTCCTTGCCACGAAGGCCCTCGCGGGTCTCGTTGTAGGCCTTGCGACGGAAGTAGACACGCTTGGCAAACTTCCACGTCTCGATGCCGCCTACGAACAGGACCGACTCGATGAAGACGATGCCCCACTCCCAGCTGATTCCGGTGTGCTTGAAGGCATACGTGTTGAGCTCGGGGATGTACAGGAGAGGGAACATGGTGATGATACCGCCAAAGATGGCCCAGAAGAGGAACTGGTTGCGCCACACGTCGTGAGCCCACTGGGTAAAGTACAGCTTGCTCTTGGGCTTCATGCGGAAGAATGACCGGCGCATGTGCACCATCTCCCAGGCCAGAAAGAGGGCGAACCACGTCAGCGAGGCAAACGTCGTGGCGCGGGCGCGGAATACCTGCTCGCAGCCCGGCTCGTCCATGGACTCGTTGCAGTTCCGACCTAGGTCACCGTTTCCAAAGCCAAAAGCAACCATGGAGAAGGACGCAAGGCACAGAGCAGCCATCCAGAAGCCATAAACCAGCATGTCAAGGAGAAGTTCGGGCGTGAAGACACCTTGCGCCAACTGTTGCCCTTGTTAGCATTCGGGAATAAATAGTGACAAATGTGAAGGGGAAAGTAGGTAGTACACAAAGAATGAAGAAGAACAAAAGTAGCTGGAGAGAGAGAGAGAGAGAGAGAGGAGGAAGAGGAAGAAGAAGAAGAGCTCACCTTTTGGGGAGGTCGCTGCATGATTTCGGGAACAGCCTGCTCAAAACCGAGACCCATGTCAGGGAAACCAGAGGTGATCATGATAATCCACATGATTTCGACAGGAGACAGCGGGAAGACCGAGATGTCATCCTCGTCCTTGAAGCAGAGGGCAATAAGTAGCGTCAGGGCCTGACCGATATTCTCAGCCAGCACGTGGAGGACGAACTTCTGAATATTATCAAACATGCGGCGTCCCTCCTCGACGGCGTTAAGGATCGAAGCAAAGTTGTCATCGGTAAGCACAATGTCCGACGCCTCCTTGGCGACATCGGAACCAGCTTGACCCATGGCGATACCAACGTCGGCTCGCTTGAGTGAGGGCGAGTCATTGACACCGTCACCAGTCATGGCCACAAAGGCCTTGCGGCGGTGGAGAGCCTCAATCATCCGCACCTTGGTCTGAGGAGCGCAGCGCGCAATCACGAGCGGGAGCAGGGGAAGCTTATCGATATCATCGTCAGTGAGCTTGTCAAAGTCATGGGCGGCCATGACCATGGTACTAGCAACGTCCGCAGCCACCTCGGAGATACGGCTGGGAAGGATGCCGACCTCGAGGGCAATGGCGCGGGCAGTCTCTGGGTGGTCGCCGGTAAGCATGTGGACGCCGATGCCGGCCTCGTGGCAGCGGCGCACAGAGGGGGCAGACTCGGGGCGAGGGGGATCGTAGAGACCGACGAGACCGCGGAAGACGAGGTCCTCTTCGAACTCTGAGCGGACGAGCTCGGCCTCGTTATCCTTGACCGGGCGGAAATCAGTGCGGGAAGCGAGGGCAAGAACACGGAGACCGAGGCTGGCCATGGAGACCATGCTCTTGAGGACGTCTTGCTTGGCCTCCTCGGGAAAATCCTTGATCTCGCCTCCGTCGGCAACGTACGGGCACGATCCGAGAATGCGCTCGACGGCGCCCTTGGTGAAGACCCACTGCTTGTCTGTCTCTCTGTCGTGGAAGATGACCGACATCTTCTTGACATCCGAGTCAAAGGGGAACTCGGCAACCTGGCGCCACTGAGCCTTGTCGCCAGTTGACAGATCGAGGCGGTTCCAGCCATAACGGGAAGCGTAAACCTGGATTGCAATTTCGGTAGGGTCTCCGCGAGCGTGCCACTCATTGTCGACGTGGGTGACAGAGGCAAGGTTGGCCAGGGAAGCAACATTGAGGTAGTCACGCAGGGATTCATCGGACTTGACAAGCTCAGCACCATTGATGCGCTCGCCCTCGGCCTCGCCTCCGGTGAAGTCAATGTCCTTGGGCGGGGCGGGGTTCAGGCTGAGGTCGCCCTCGGTAGGGTTGAAGGGTTCGTTGGTATTGCCGACCGAATAGGTGCCACGGCCGGGGATCCAAGCCTTCTTGACGACCATCTTACCCTGAGTCAGGGTTCCAGTCTTGTCGGAGCAGATGTCTGATTGACTTCAGTCAGCATCGAGTCATGGATGCGAAGGGGGGAGAACGTTTACAACTTACTTGTAACTCCACCCAGAGCCTCGAGAGCCTTGAGGTTACGAACAATAACGTTGCGCTCAACCATGCGCTTGGTACCGGCAGCCATGGTGATTGTCAGCACAACGATGAGAGAGGCAGGAATCATGGAGACACCGGTAGCAACGGCATAGATGACGACCTGTTGCTCAGAGCTGAAATCGTTGGCAGCAAGAACAATGATGGCGCATATGACGGCAGTACCGAGGAGCAGGAGGGCAAGCTTAGCAAGTTTCCTCTGGAGAGGGGTCCCGACATTGACACCGAGGAAGCGGCCGACGGCATCGGTAAAGGTCAGGGTCCAAGCCTGCATCCAGCGGCCGGCACTAGCGGTACCGTCCTCGCGGCGTTTAGGCTCGCGGCGGTGCGAGTTCTTGCCACGGAGGGCTGCAGCAATCTGTCCAATTTCAGTGTATAGACCGGTAGCGAAGACGATTCCACGGCCACGGCCCTTGGTTACGGTCGACGAGCTGTAGGCAATGTTGAGACGGTCACCGGGGCCGGTTTCCTCGGGGAACGTGGTGGTAGTCTCCTTGCGGACGGGGAGGGATTCTCCCGTGAGCAGAGCCTCGTTCGTCTCGAAGTTGACGGCTTCGATCAGACGCACATCGGCGGGTATAGTATCACCGGTCTTGAGCTCGACCAGGTCGCCGGGAACAATTTCCCTCGTGGGAACAACCTGTTGGTTGCCGTTGCGAACGGCCTGGGCGGTGGGGGAGCTGAGCGATCGAAGGGAGTCCATGGTCTTGGCGGCCTTCCACTCTTGCTGGAAACCGACTGTGATGTTGAGGATGATGACGGCAACCAAGACACCGCCTTCAATGTAGGAGAGGATGCCGAACGAAGCGGCCATGGCCATGATGAGCACCTGTCGAGTCATGCCATTGTCAGCGGGTTGAATTCAATCAATTGGCCAGCACCAAGAGAGAAAAGAAGAAAAAAAAACAAAAGGTGAACAAGGTTCGACGTACCAGAGTCAGCGAGTTGGCAATCTGCCCGACAAAGATTCGGACAGGCTGGACGCCCTTGGACTCGCCAAACTCGTTCGCGCCATACTCCTCGAGACGCTTCTTATGCTCCTCGTCACCCAGACCGTTCTGAGCGTCAGTTCCGAGTTCGCGAGTAACATCCTCCAGTTTCAAGGCATGAGCAGGAGCCGAGAGGGGCTTGTTGGACTGTCCAGACCTGTGATTGGCCACGGCAGCATCCTCGGCAGCATCTTTCTTACCCATGATGGAGGTTGGCTTGGTTGCAGGGAGATGGACTGGCTCAGGTCGCGAGTAGGGACTTGTGAGCCAGTGCAAGGAAGGCTTGTACAACTACTAGTATTATTGAACTGCGAGGTATCTTGAGCAATGGAAGACCGAAGGAAAATAGACAATCCGAAGTATATGTCGACGTTTCAGCCGTGGTCGTCGGCTGGCGATCCGACAAACAGGAGGGAATCCAGGGTCGGACGAGTTGTTGAGGGTGAAGAACCTAAAGGTCCAGCACAAGCTGCCAGACTAGAAGGTGGGACAAGGTATGAGGCAAGGCCGAGAAAGGAAGAGGCCTTTTAAGAGACTGTACCGAAGTCGTCTCTTCTCTGTGGCTGTGACGGTGATGATAGGATGGAGAGAAGGATGGGGATGATGAGAAGCAGTTTAAGAAAGAAGGTCCAAAAGAGACTTTGGTACATGGGAAGCAGGAGTATTTAAACTCGTTGGTCCTGGAACGAGTCCCGGCCGGAGACAGCGTTCCCCCTCCTTCCTCGGCCTTCTCCATGAGCTGGACAGTTGATTATCAGCAAGACAAGATGCACTGTACAGCTTGCTAGGACGATGATACATGTACATAATGATCCAAAGGGAAGGGGGCCCCACAAGGATGGTAGCACGCCTTTTCCTTGGCAAAGGGCCGGGTTTGATAGTGGGGATACGTAGGCCGGCGGCGGTTGGGTCATGGTGGAGGAGGAGGAGGAGGAGGATGAGGGGGACGACAGAGCCTAGAGAAACGTGAGAGAGAGGACCGAACGGAGAGTTGAGACGGCGACGGCCCCGGAAGCGAATAGAGAAGAGTCTTGGGGGGGCAAAGCCAAGACTCGTTCGTCCTCGTACTTTGTCGTACGAGTACGAGAGAGAGTGACTGCGATTCAATACACCCTACGAGTACAAGTACGCATACCTTGGACTATCGACCCTTTCCTCCCCCAATGACATTGCAATCCGGCCCTCCCCTCGGCCCCGTTGTGTGCCCCGTGCGGTACCATAACCCTTGTCGCCCCGCTCTTGGCGGCTCTGGGGTGGCGCCTCGTTGAGCCTCTCTCTGGTGAGCCTCTTTGGGAATCTCCACTGTATTACCTACAGAGATACGCGGGTCGATTTTTACGGAGTAGTGTGCTTATGTATATGTGTGTGTGTGGG